AAGTGTAGAATAATACAAATATGAAGATACAAAAATTACATGATTCATAATTGCTTAAACGTTATACAAGATAAGCAGAGATAATTTCTATGTCAAGCAAAATTTGAGCAGAATGTTTACAGTAATGACAATATAAATAAACAGTCTTGAATGTAAATTACAACAAACCAAGCTAAGTACGTACGTTTATGATACGTTAATGAATACATATGTCTGTACTGAAGCAATCTGTACAATACCATATTCAAATAAATTCAATAGAAGAATTTCTAAACATCTGACATATATTATAATCAAAGTCAATAAATGAGCATATCGAAACGCAAGCAATTTAAAGATCAAAAAACAACAACAACAAGCTATAACAAGTCAAGTTTGCGAACGATACATAATCGCCAAGTAAAGGAATAACTCAGAAGTTTTATGAAAAAGGCATTTGAACAAAATTGCAATTATAACATTTGGCCATATGTAACATCTACAATAACATACATTTGACTTGACAAATGAAAACTGACATTAACTGTATCAATTGAGTAAAAAACAACAAAAAACTGACAAACAATACATATAAATGTATAGCAGCATTCAGTGCAAAACCATATTTAAATATAAACAATAGAAAAATGGAAGAAATCCTAAACATTATATACAATGAATGTATATAACAATTTATAGGAAAGCTAGCAATTTACAGATCAATAACAAGCTAACAAGTTAAGATTGCGAGCAATACATAAAATGCCAAGTAAAGGAATAACTCAGAAAACTTTCCAAATTGAAAACAAACTTGTAACGGAATTTTGTCAAATCATTACCACACTCAACTAAATGCTATGTAAAAAAGTGTAACTTCATTAGCATATATTACTAGCTAAAAAATTGTCTAGGAAATAGTCTGCATTTAAACATGCATTTAGAAGAAATAAATAAATATCTTGTAGAAGTATTATTTGAAAAATAGCAATTACATGCCAGAGTGTTACAACAATCGTGTAAAATCACTAGAAATGACATCATGATAAACATAGAGAACTAGTTAATCACGGGCCGGATATGTTCTTCATTAAGAGATATACTGTTGTAGTATGTTGAATTTATATTTATAGCTGAACTGTTTAATAGTACGTGATTTGTTAATTACAGATAAGTCGTTGCAAAGTTTAACTCCAGCCGATTTAATGGATTTAAAACCAGTATTCGTTGATACTCTAGGAGTAAAGTATAAATTGTTAGTTGCTGCTCTTGTCTGGTAATGATGAGAATTCTTCTAGAATAATTCAGGGAGAATGCCTGCATTGAATTTAAACATAAATTTACCTAGCTCTAAATTATAAATGTCGATTTGTTTAAGCAGTTGCAATTCATAAAAGTAAGAGGTTGCATGATCCCTCGAGTTAGCAAATTTGATAAGTTTAACAATTTTGTTTTGAATAGTTTGTAGTGGTTTTAAAGTGGTTTTGTTGGCTGTACCAAAACCGCATAGATTAGAGAAGGATAGACCAGGGCATAGTAAATAGTGCGAAGCATCTCTTGTGGAATATAGTGTCTTAATTCGTCGTCGTCGTCGTTTCGTTGGAGCTGATTTACACAAAGTGTTCAAATGATATGACACTGTCTTTCCTGTCAAGTTTAACTGATTGGCCAGACTACTCGAACAGAATGAGTTGCTAGACACTGTATCCGGTAGTGCATCGACCAGGACCTTATTGTTAACTAATACCTGTACAATGGGCATGTACGTTTCTTTGTCCGAGAACATACTCGCATTTGACACGCTCCTGCTTGGGTTTACAGATACCGACTGATCACCAACATTGTGAATATACATGGTATGTTTCTTTCCACAACCCGGGACAGAACACACTGATCTTTTCCCACAATTGTGTGCACTATGCCCAGGCAGCAGACAGTTTTCACACAATCTACGCCGCTTAACCAGATCTATACGCTGCTTAACTGACATACGTTTGAACAACTCACAACGCCACATCCTGTGATATCCACTACACAGAACACAAGCTGGTTGTGGCCTAGCATAATTTCTATTATAGCGCATAGCTGAAGCACTAGCTGAATCACCATTAGCCCCTGCACTGGCAGACATAGCATGGGACGTAGAAGATTGGACTCTGGGTTTACCTGCGGTTTCCCTTTTAAATGATAACCCCCCATATACCGGATCATTACTCTCCAGAGCCCGTTCTGCGACAAACTTGACCAAATCAGTGAAAGCAGGATAACACCCTCTTGCCCTCTTAATTTCCAGTGCACGGTTCTTCCACATTATCTGAACATAGGGCTGCAAGCGGTAGACGATATCAAGAATTGTGGACTGTGAGCTGACTTCAGCAAGCATGCTCAACTGATTCAAAATTAATTCTGCATTTCTTAGGTCATCGGCCAACTGCTGGATTTCGCTTGGGGACCTGACAGGTTTCTGTCTTTTTAAATCCGAAATGATTCTCTCTGCTACTAAGTGGGGGTTTCCAAATCGTTCCTTCAGAATCTGCAAGGCTTGTGCGTACCCTTCGTCCCCACCAATCAACAGACAGCCGCGGATAGCGTCCTTGGCAGGACCTTTGGTGTACTGCACCAGGCGGGTTAATTTCACATTAGCATCCAAACACACTTGATCGATATTCAATTCGAAAGATTTTATAAACTGGTGATAGCGCAAGGTATCCCCATCAAAATACTCTAACTCTACTTTCGGCAGATTCAGAAAAGCAATTAGATCGCTCGGCAGCCCACCGGTCGCAGCTCCCTCCTCCAATTCTACCTTCGCCGGGTCACTTACATTAACTGAGGCGGATTTTACCTTAATACACTTTTCCAAAGCCTCAATATAATTATCCTGTTCTTTATAGTAGTATTCTTCGCTATCATCGATATCGGAATCGCGAACAAGGGCATTATGAAAAACATTATGTATATCGGTAAACGTCTGAAATCGATGACTTAACGCCAGACACTGTTGCTCTACGCAGTCTAACCTGTTTTCTGCCAACAACTGGCGCGTGTAATTTATCTCTTTCGTCAGGGCACGTTTCGCCTTTGTCCTTTCTGATTTTTGCTTCGGCCATCTTGAAGTGTAGATCCTGCCTACGTCCGGTTAATCAGGGTGAAATGGAAGGTAGACTCCATGGCAGCGTTTTTCTACTGTGATGTGCGCCCGCCGAAACGAGGAAGAAGATGAAGACTCAGACTGTGGTTCAACCAGCCATTTTATTTTCTTCTCTATCGAAGTTCCTCTTGTAAAGATCCAGCAGACTTACTGAGTCAATACTATCAGAATTTGAAAATGCCTTAAGAAAACAAAAGTCACTCGACTTATTGTTAACATTAGTCAAAGACTCAACAATATCTTTATTAATTTTAAGAGTAGTGGAATAAAAAGTCTTTCCACTATCATCCACTTTCTCCTCAGTGGTGAATCTATCTCTCCACATCTCTATACCAATAGCTGCCCATCGCGGAATGACATCATTTTGACCTATTTCACTGATTATAGGTAGTCTCTTGGTTATATTCACAAATCGACTAGGTACCTCTCTGCCGAAATTATCAACGATAGACCGCAAACTATCATCAATCAGGCTACATACAATGCATTAGCAATTTATATCAACGAACAGTCATAATATGGCGTACGTAACGTATCTTACATAGGAAATTCACACCACGCCAACGCAAGATAACGACAAATACTAACGTACGGCTGACACAATTTTACCATTGAAATATCACGAACATGAATTGTTCTTAAACTAAATATACAACTATCCGCATTCATGTAACAGAAAATAAAACACGTTCAGAGCGGTTGGACGGGGTTAATCATGAGCACCTGAAAGGGCACCCTCACCGCACGGACACCGCCACGAGAAGAACGCAAACTCAGTTGACCTAAATAAGCGGGACGTCCGGTAGTCGGAGCTACCAGAAAATGCGGAACCGCAAAATGCGGAGCAACTAGTGTAACATCGCATACCAACGCAAACATTTATCGCTGGAGATAACATGAAGCGTTAGGGAGATCATTAATATATATATAAGAAAGAGTAGTGGACCCAGTGTTGATCCTTGAGGGACACCACAAGTCATTTCCGCCAAGTTTGATTTGTGTGAATTTATGCATGTGTAGTGATAACAATTAGACAGGTATGATCGAAAAAAATCTAAAGTTAAACCTCTAATACCGTAACGTTCCAGTTTTGCGAGTAAGATATTATGATTAACCGTATCGAAAGCTTTGGATAGATCCACGCCGATGTATGTTCATGTCCACTTTTCGTAACATTACTAGCCGATAATTAAGAAATGTGTAAGAACGAGTGTACATTAAATGAATCCGAGTTGTAATCACAGAAAAATATCCATTTATACATCGGCTACTATGTCTGTCAGAAATCGAAACGGAGAAATCGGCGTGTCTCTATTTTTCACAATGATTGACCACTGCCGGGATCGGATCGATCGGTTTAAAGCTAATCTCATTATACCATAGATACCAAGGGCAGCATTGCCTCAACTAAAACAAGTGTTTTAATCGTGCTTGGGCCGTAAATGTTGCCGCATGCCTGAGCAGCTGCGATGCTGTCATCTCCTGGGCAGCATATTTTGCCCAGAATTGGTGAGCCTGCCCTGCAGATTCTTCGTCTGGTTACGCTGGGTCACGCAGGACCTGTTCGTCAGCCACCAGTGTGTGCTGTAAATCGACGATGTCCGACTCGCGTTGCAAAAGTGGGACGAGTTTGTAGAACGAGAGTTTGGCATTTCCCGCATAGCTATTGAGACGGGTGTGCCATCCTAAAAAATGATTACAAATGGATTAGGACACTAAATTTGTTAACATCAGACAAAGAACCTTGATCGTTTTGACCCTTCTTCTTGTGTTCACATTCTCATACACATATTTCTCTTACGGTTACACTAGAGCAGACTTCACCTAGCTTGGTAGAGTTAAAACCGGAAAAACATTACCGAGTTAATCAAATACCGAGTAAGAATTTGTGTTAAACATAGTACCAAAATACATACGGAACATTTTTTTTTCAAATCTGATGCAGGCTTAGTTTACTATAAGTTAACTGGTACTGAGTAGGTCGGAGTCCACTGTATATGATTATAGTTTAAGTTAAAACTATTTACCTTCAACATCGTTCTTTGTCCTGATGGTCAGGTTGTAGACATTCCAATTCGTAGGCTGCCAGGTCGGATTTTTAAGCCAGCTTTCACTGACGTACCTCACCAGTTGATGAAGTTGAGGTGATGTTGCCCTCTGTTCCAGTTGTTGGAAGGCTGGCTGGATGTCAGCAGCAGGTAGAAATGGCAATGCCATCAGACTACAGATATACCTATACTCCTGTCCCCGGAGGCTGTATGTCGTCGAGTCCGAGCTCCATGGTTTTCCGCCACACTGCCTGGCTAAAGTGAAATGCGCATCCATTGATGCTTGCATTTGGGAATTCATTACGAATTGCCTTCCAGGCACCTGTTAGAATATAGTGAAACACAGTGTAAGGCACACAAGCACATTTTATGTAAAACAGTGACATGTAAACAATTTTTTAAATGCAGGCGGGCATGCGGGCGGTGGACGCAAATATATGACTTTCGTACTCATGGCCTAATCCTAATTTAATATGTGTATCGCCGGTAGGCCCTACCTAGCCTAGGCCTACTAAAAGACTAAGAGATAGGCGCTAGGCTATTGATAAACAAAAGCCAAGGCCAAGGTTCCTAAACAAAAACATATAGCCTACCTCTGGTTGGGTCTTATGCCCTTGCTGCTGGATGTATGTTTTTTTCCTCCTTTCAAGCACTGGAAATGGACCTGGTAATATTTAACCTCATTCGTCTTTGGCAAACTCGATCTGGTCCAGCATCCAATAATCGAGAGTGGCGCCGCCAATAAGACATGAGCTGCTCATCTTCAAACAGCCTAATAGCGGCCAAAACATCGTTAAATGACGAAAATTTATCTCCAAGTTTCAATATTCTTGGAAGTTGAACCCGCCATTTGCAAAATCCCGCAATGGGAAATCCCTAAATGACGTCATAACACAGCCAATCAGCTACGATTGTCGGCAAAATAGCGTTTACCAATATTTTGCCGCGTCCGCAAAATATCCACTTCCAATTTTGAAGACTCTAAAACTCAAAAAGAGAAACTGTAACGTTACAAACCGGGACATTACTAACCAACAAATTTGCCAATTCTGCCTAATTGCTTGATTGCTTAGGGAAGTTTTTTGTCTATCTAAACAGTCATTATCATTATGGGTTTCACACCACTTTGTTTTAGTTGCTCTAAGAAGACATCAAAATGTTCATGTCCACTTTTCGTAACATTACTAGCCGATAATCAAGGTTTTAGGGTTTTAGTATTTATTACCCTAACTTAGCCTAATCCTGATACATAATTTTGGGATCGTGGTGTAGAAAAGTGCACTAGCACACACTAGACTTTCTAGTTAACCTTGGGTTAGGGTACTGTACAAAACTGGGCCCAAGGATAAAGAAGATCTTATCCTACAGTCCTACAGTCCTATCCTATCAACTAACATCATCCTATCCAATCACCGTACTGGACATCATCTGTATCCTTGAACCTAAAACTGTACATCAGTCTCACACATTCATTTTCATGGCAGGGTTCTGCCCAGGATTTTTTAGTCCTGAACATTTTTGATTTTTGATAGTCTGAAACTCAATTTCCTGCATTCTGAGCAATAAAAAGCCCATATATCACTCTTCTTCTTTTCCTTTTTTTATATAAAGAATTAGTGCCGGGCGGAGATATATAGTGCCGGGCGGCAACTGCAGGGCAAACTACTCACCTGAATGTGCCACCCTGTGAGTGTGAGCCACAGGTAGGCAGCACAATATCCACAACGATGAGACTCTGGGTCTTGCTCAAAGTCGTCGCAATTTTCACAATTTTGGCAGGTTCCACGACGTACACCACGCTTGTCAAGCACCATCTTGCTGAGCAGATGCCGTATCTCTGTTGTTATCTCTATCACAGATTTCGAGAATTCTGTACTATCGAGTCGATAGATGGCACTGAACTCTACACTACGTATAGACTGGTCACTGGTACCCGTTCGCCACCTTCACTCCGGTACGTATCCTTCGCTACACTGACGTAGTGACGTTATAGTGTAGCGTGTGGAACTGTCGACTGGGTACCAGTCTACACTACGTAGTGTAGAGTTCAGTGATTGAGGGGGACTAGGGGGCAATATTTTTACTTTTCAAAATGAAATGTAATGAATGAGCTTTCAAAACTAGCAGGAATTAATACACCACCAACAATCCAATAGCCTGCAGATCTGATGGCATTCAAGATAATAACCCGGCCTTGATGGTGTTCTTCTTTATGATAGTGCCTAACCACCAATCTTGTCACTTCACTCTTGGCTGGAAGTATCAATGGGTGTTTAATCTCTTCTCGTAAGTTGCTCTTCTTCAAGCGCCCATCGATTCGGATCAAACCGTCGCCATCGATCACTGGGTCTAAATTTTTCAGTTTAGACAAATCAGTTAGCTCATTGCACTGGGCTTCCTTTACCAACAACTTCTCTGCTCTAGTCGTGTCAGCAACAGTCAACTCACCGGATCGCCTCTACCCTCTAAGCTTGTAGTAGAAGACAGCATCTGGCGAAAACTCTTGACTTTCTTCCAACTAGGCATTCGTTGCAGCACTTCTGAAAACACTGCCACCTTGACTTGTGCTGCGAACACTCTTGCTTGTTTAACTTCTACATCTTCCTCAGTCACTGTAGAAGCAATTGCCTCCTTGATGACATAGTCTGCCTCATGCAGGAAAGCTGGACCCTGCCACCACATATCACAATCTTTCAGGCGCTCTGCAATCATGCCCCTTGAGGCAATATCAGCAGGGTTGTCACAACTGGGTATGTAATGCCATTGCGCTGGTAGACTTTCGTCACGAATCTGTCTCACCCTGTTGGCTACAAATGTGTGGAATCGTCTAGCTTCATTGTTGACATAACCGATTACCACTTTACTATCTGTCCAAAAGTGCTCCACTACGTTCTCATACTGTAACTCTCTTTGTAGGATGACTGCAATCTTGACAGATACAGTAGCAGCCACTAATTCCATTCGAGGCATGGTCACCGCCTTAAGAGGTGCAACCCGGCATTTGCTGATGAGCAATGAGCACTTTACGTTACCATGATCATCGACTAGCCTTAAGTAGGAACATTGCCCGTAGCCTACTTCAATGGTATCGCTGAAGTGATGCAACTCTGCCGTCACAACACTAGATGGCTGGTGCTCGGATGGCTTGTAGCACCTGCTGACGTATACATCTTTCAGGTACACCAACTGACACTTCCATCGGTTCCAGTCTCTAAGCACTTCCTCGCCAATTGGCTCATCCCAGTCACCCCACTAGCACATACTTGCTGCAGAATGCGTTTCCCTATCAAGACATAGGGCCCAAGAAAGGCTATGCTTTTGTTCCCGCCTCTGCGAGGGCCTTCACTATAGACCTCTCCAATGTTTCGGCATCCTCATAGGGCGAGTATTTTGTCGTTAATTTATTTAGGTTCCTTTCACATTCCCTTTGGAAGGCTCCCCAATCGGCATCTCTGGTTTTCTATGATTTCTTTATAGTGAAATCTCTGATGCTATCGTTCTTTTAAAAATACCTTTAGTGCCAGGGTGATTACTAGAGGGAAATGGTCTGTAGTTATGTCTTTTTAATATATTGTCTTTTTAGTGTATTTGCCGTTACATCTTTCATCCTCGTTTAATATTTTTACCCCAGAGGTCTCTGTGAAATCCAATAGCAGTTGCCCATTTCTATTTATAGTCCCCTGTATCATGCCTATGTGCCCGTTTAAGGTGAGTAACTCCCTAGCTCTAGTACTCAGTACAGTAGTAGGCCTAACTCCCTAGCTAACACAAAAACGTTATTACAACGTTTTGATACCGTTATGCAACAGTTTTTATAACGTTTTTTGCAACGTTTAGTTAACGTAAATGTGTCGGGTTTTTATAACGTTTTTAAGATTCAAGATTCAAGATTCAAAGATGTTTATTTGTGCATAAGACATACATACATACAGTGTACAATGGAAGATATGAGAATGACAGGTCACAATACATGATTTGACAGAAGCACGTGGGTGGCGAAGGACCCGAAGGTCATCAAAGTCTGCCACCCCTGAAAATATTAGTTTAATACTTTAATACTTTAATGCTGGGCCGGATGAGTAAGCTTCATAGCTTTTTTGGACCCCTCTATATGATATCAAACATTGCAGTGTCTCAGGCAGTCTTTTGACCCCTCAAGATATATATGAAATGCTGTTACTTGTACATGTGTTTTTGGTGGTGCGCACATAAGAAAGAAAAATAGGACTACACTAACAGGAGGTGTCGAACTTATACTGATGCCACTGGTTGCTGTTGAGCCGAGATTTGAAGATGTTTAGACTCTGATATATGACCACTACACTTGGAAGATTGTTCCACTGGTCTACGACCCTAAATGAAAAACTGTTTTGTCTGATTGTCGAATTACATCTTTTCTTAAACAGTTTTAGTTTATGACCACGTGTGTTATTACCACTTCTAACAAAGAATACCTGTATCATGTCGTATCGATCTCTTTGGTACTCTAGTGATGGTAAACCGAGCTTTAGAAGCCTCCCCTTGTACGACAAGTGTTGTATGTCACATACAAATTTTGTTGCCCTTTGTACCTTCTCCAACAGACGAATGTCCTTCTTCAGGTACGGTGACCAAAGTGGCGTTGCATACTCCATTAACGGACGGACTAGGGATTTTTACAGGGAAAGAAACAGTTCATAGACAGGCAGCTGAATCATGAGTTTAATTAGGTTATTGATTGAAACTGATTGACTGATGCTGGCCATGTCTTGGAGCATGCTGCGCGTGCAGACGAGAGCGATACGCAGCGTAACTTGTGCTGCACCGTTAAACAGCCCAGCAATGGCGTTGATGCGTTCCCCCACCGACATTCGCGCCATCATGCCGTAGTTACGATTCCTATCTGCATGACCTGTAGAAGGATTACTGTAAATTAATTACTACTGGTCTAGCTGTTGTTCCTTATACACAAAACACCTGCACGCACTCACGGAACACGCACGCACGCAATTCTTCTTACATTGCGACGAGGGCGATACCTAATAAACTCCAATGCATGTCCAACAAGTAAGAGTGTAAGCAACCACAGGGATTTAATATCAGTATATGATTGAGATGAGAGAGAGAGAGAGAGAGAGAGAGAGAGAGAGAGATAGGAGGGGCATTAGGTTTCGAAAGAGTATTGCTTGAATCGTGTAATGTGTTATTCAGATTATAGAATGAATTCTCACTAAATCAAATATTAAACTTCGATGGATTTATTGAAAATATCAATATGCTCAGCAAATAATAAATCATAATATAGTAAATAATGATAGCACATTAAGCTAGTAGTTTTTTAAATAATATAATGGGTTTATATATACACA